TGGAACACGCTGTGGAGCAGTGGACGGACGAAGTGCCATCTGGTGCGTGCCAGGGACAGGAGGAGGACGCGGACGCGGGACACGACGACCAGTGCGAGCAGTGCGAACGGGCGACGCAGGACGAGACGCAGGCTCACGACGCTCAGCAAGACCTCCTGTCTGCTCAGTGTAAGGAGAAGGAGCAGGCAGCGGTGAGCCAGGCTGTAACGGAAGACCAGTAGACGACGGGAGGGTAAGAACCTGACGAAGAACAGAGTCAGGCGGTGGCAGAGACGACGGAGACGGCGGAGCGAAGAACAGTCGAGGCTGCGCAGTGCCACCAGCACCAGCAGCTCCAGCGCCTCCAGCAGCACCAGCGCCTCCAGCAGCTCCAGTGCCTCCAGTAGCTCCAGAACCTCCAGCAGCTCCAGCGCCTCCAGCAGCACCAGCAGCTCCAGCAGCGCCAACTCCAGTACCCCCAGGAGCACCGTCAGCACCTGCACCTCCAGCAGCTCCAGTACCTCCAGGACCAGCATCACCAGCAGGAGCACCCCCAGAGCCGGCACCTGCAGCCCCAGGGTCTCCAGTCGCAGTGTCTCCAGCAGCAACACCCCCAGACTCAGCACCAGCTCTAGCAGCACCGTCAGCACCTGCACCTCCAGCTCCAGCAGCACTCGCTCCTCCAGGAGTTCCAGCAGCACCGCCAGGCTCAACAGCTCCAGCATCACCAGCGCCAACCCCAGGGTCGGCAGCCACACCAGCACCAGGAGCTCCACTGCCCTCAGCTCCCACAGCACCACTGCGGCGGCGGCAGTACCGAGAGTACCACTCACGCAGCTCCAAGGAAGAGAGAGCGCCTCCAGGCGCAGCACGGTCAGACGCAGCACCCCCAGGCTCAGGAAACCCAGGCACAGCACCCCCAGTCACAGTCCCTCGAGGCTCAGCACCTCCAGTGTCAGCACCCCCAGGCTCAGTACCCAAAGTGTCAGCACCCCCAGGCTCAGCACCCCCAGACTCCGCACCCCCAGGCTCAGCACCCCCAGGCTCCGCACCCCCAGGCTCAGCACCCCCAGTCTCGGTACCACCAGACCCAGCACCACCAGGCTCGGCACGTCTGCTCAAGCTCAGCACCACGCGCAGAACCAGAGTCGACAGCTACCTCGACAGGCTCGACCGGGTCTACCTGGGAAACACCTGAGGGAGCAGGACCCTGGGGAGGCAGGGGGTCTACCAAAGCAGCACCTGGGGTGAGGAAGAGCGGCGGGGGGGGGAGCGGGGCAGTGCGGTAGGGGAAGAGACGGTAAAAGGGGACCGACTCGTCAAACGTGACGTCCTGAGAGGGGAAGACACGGCGCGAGGCAGGGTGGTAAAACTGCCAGCCAGACGCGTCAGGGACAAAGCCAAGGAAGATACAAGGGAGGGTACAGGAGGAGAGCTTGTCCGCGGACGCATCGCGGACAAAGGCACGAGATCCCCAGACGCGGAACACCGACGCATCGCCAACCTCTCCCGTCCAACGCAGTGTCGGCGAGGTGTCCGAGTCGGAGACCCGGGGCCAGAGGTTGAGCTGATGCGCGGCGTACCGGACCGCAAACGGCCACAGAAAATGGGGGGCAGCCGCATGGACCAAGGAGGTACGAGCGACCTCCATGACCAGACCAATGCGGCGCTCAGCAACCCCATTCTGCTGCGGAGAGGCCGGAAGCGTGAACGTCTGCTCAATGCCCTCCCCCTGACAGAAGGCTCTCAAGAGGTCGGAGGAAAACTCACCACCTCTATCAGAGTGCAGTCGCAGGACTGGAAGGTCCGAGCGAAAGCGCCTCTCCAGCTGGAGACGGGTAGCGCGGATCCAAGGGATCAAGACATCAGGGACTTCACCCTTGGTGCGCAAGGGGAAGACCGTGGTGTAACGCGTGTAGTTGTCAACTACCAGCAGAAAGTAGCGCTCCCCGCCCTGTCCACGGACGCGGGCGGGGCCCCACACGTCCATGTGGAGTGTCTGCAGAGGAGCCTCTGTCGGGGGAAACTCGGAGGAGTGAGGAGCGGCGCGCTGCCGCCCCTCGACACAGGGAAGACAGGGAGGAGCAGGCGAGGGCGGGAGGGGAGGGAGAACCCTGGGAAGACCAGAGACAAGGAGGCGACGGTGCATGCCGCGAAGGCGCTGCACTGACGGGTGACCAAGGCGGTGGTGCCAGAGGACAGTCTGGTGGGACAGGGAGCGACACAAGCAGGGGGCCGACAGCTGACCTGACGCAGACGCAGACGCAGCGACCTGAGGGGACTCAGTGGTCAGTGTGTACAAGTCCGACCCCGGCTCCCTAGTGAAGGTAGCAAGGTGGCGTTCCGTCCGGGCACACGTACAGTGGGTCACACGCTCGTAGGCAGGGGTGAACTGGTGAACACCCCCGTCCTGTAGAGCAGAGCCCGCCACCAAGTTCGTAGAGAACGAGGGGAGGTAAAGACCTGACAGGGTGCCAGACGGGACCGCAGGACACGGGAGGACAGTGGAGGAGGTCGCAAGGACCGGACCCCCGGAGGGGTCAGCCAGGGAGACAGCAACCGGTCTAGGAAGCTGCTCGAGGGCAGTGCGGTCGCGAAAGAAACAGCGGGAAGCACCTGAGTCCAGTGTGAAGGTGTGCAGTGCCGCAGTAGACGCTGTACCTGAAGGCGCAGCCTCACAAGCACCTGGGGCAGCAGACACACTAGCACCTAGAGCGGCAGCCTCACTGGTCGCAATGCCTGGGTCTGGTGGCACACACAAGTAACAGTCACCCTCAACACTAATAGTCAATGCATACATGGCTCCAAGAATAACATCAAAGTCAAGTGCAAATACATCAATGTTCTTTTTAAGCAGATCAGCCCAGCGGGGCAGCTCAGAGGCCTCCGAGAATTGTGCACGCCAGGCATCGTCTAGACGAAAGAAGCAGCGGTGCGGCGTGTGGAAACGCCCACACGTCTGACCAGCGCGGTCACCGGTGCGGATGACATACGTGCAGGTGCCTCCACCCCCAGACCCCCCATGCTGAGAGTACCACTCACGAAGCTGCTGGGACGACGGGGTCTCTCCAAGACGCTGCTGCTGGCGCTGGGCACCACCCGAGCCTCCACGCTGCGCTGGTCCACCCCGACCACCACCCGAGCCGCCGCCACCACGCCCACTGCCGCCACCACCACCACCTCCACCCCGGCCTCCTCCACCACCACTGCCGCCACCACCCCCGCCGCTGCCACCCCCGCCGCTGCCACTGACCCCCCCAGCCTCGCCACCACCCCCACCACCGCCACCACCCCCACCGCCCCCACCGCCTCCACCTCCACCGCCACCCCCACCTCCCCCACTGATACCGCCACCACCCTTGCCCCCCTTGCCCTTGCCGCTCTTGCGCCTCCAGCTAGGAGCAGACGCAGCCCCGACGTCCTCAGCACCGAGGAAGTCGACAGCGGCAGCAGAGGCAACCGAGGGGAGAAGGGGGGAAGGGGAACACCCGTCGAAGAAGGGCGTGCGGGGGTCGCCACGAGAGGCACCTACAGCAACTATACTAGCCTCAGCTGCAAGCAGATGCTTCTCGAGCAGGTCAATGGTGAGCTCGGTAGGGCAGAGGGCGAGAAAGTGGTCCCTGACTGCGCGAAGAGAGTCAGGGAGACGGGTGACTAGGTGGTAGAGAACGAGGTACGTCGGGGGGGGGGGGGGGGGGGGTTCTTGGCGAGAAACTCAGCAGGGAGGGCGGCTCGGAAGCGAGTGTCACTGGTGCGGAGGTGTGTAATGAGGTCAGCGACTGTGGGAAAGGCGGCGAGATCGGGGAAAAGATAGGGCAGAGAGAGACGGCCTATCGTAGCGGAGGCAGGTGAGGAGTAGCGGGCGACTACTGCATCGTACAGCTCCTTAGCAGTCTTGTGCTGGCCAAAGTATGCGCGCTCATCTAACGGCAGGTGGCTGCGAATGGCTAGGCGAGCGTGGGCGTCACGAGTCTGCCACTGGGAGCGAGCTGTACTGTCAGCAGTGTCAGCAGGTGCGAGAGCGGTTCCGGACGCGTGGTCATACAGCGAGACGTCATCCTTAGCGGTGATCTGGAGGAAAAGGTGGAGATCGTCAAGCCAAGCATCAAACTGGAGCGGACGGCCCTCAGCATCGAAAGAGAGAACTGTGGGTGTAGCCATAGTGGCAGTAGCGGCAGTAAGAGCAGAAGTAGTAGCAGCTGTAACAGCAGGAACAGGAACAGTAGGCGCTGCAAAACCCTAAACCCTGAACAGTAGGTCAGGGCGACGCGGCTCGGGGAGGTAGGGCAGCGCAACGGCGAGCCTAGGCACGGTGCGCGGCGGCGCCTAGGGTTGCAGCTGCGCGCAGGCCGCGGCTGGGGTCGTGCTGCAGCTAAACGTGAGCTGCAGCAGCCGACGCGCGATCGCCACTGCGCGCGGGCTGCGACCTGCGGGCGGGCGGGTCGACGGGCGGATCTAGCTGCGCGGGCGGCCTACGGTCGTCGCGCGCGCGATTCGGGCCGCGCGCGGGCAGAAAACAAAGCCGCGCGCGGGTAAAAAGGGGGCCGCGCGCAGTCGTCTAGCGGGCGACGCGACCAAGGAAAAACGAGGCGCACGAGGGCGCGAAATGAAGGAGACGCTCGAGGGCGCTAGCGGAAGGGCGGGCCCTTAGTACACGTGGTCCTAGGTTACTAACCTAGGGCTTTGATACCATGTTAGAATAAGAAGTATGTGATATGTGAGATTAGGTGAAGGTTGGGCCCTTAGGTTGGGGTACCCTCTAAGGCTAGCCCCAATATAGCCTAGATACTAACATGCATATGTTTTGACAACAAGGGTACAAGCGTGGATTTCATAACCTACTGTCATTGGCTGCCTACAACCTGCAAGTTTACGGGAGCAGGCTACTTTCAAGGCTGCCATGCTCTAGGTGTTTCAAGTTTAAGCCTACAAATACTGATAACATTGGAGCTCGTGATGTGCTCAGACATTGGCTTTTACCTCTGGGAGGCTTCTGTTTCCAGCCTTGTCATCATCGCACTATGTCCAGGATGACGACCAGGAACGGGGGAATCCGCAACACTGATACTACTGCTGGAGGGATCCTGGATAAGCCCAAGGAAGCGCCGGTGGTTGTGGATGCTTCAGCGTCTTTGGCTGTCAAGCGCACGGCTGATCTGTTCACGTAGGCTGATAAGAAAGCTCTTCAGCCTGCCGGGTCGGCGCATGAAGTCAGGGAAGTGGCTCGTGACTTGCTCAACGCGAGCAGTGGAGGGAAGCCGTTGTCTACGGATCCTGGTGTTAAGCCGGATGGCACCGGTGGCGGTACTGGCGCTATCCTGCATGCAGCGAAGGACGCGACGTCAAACATTGCCTCGAAGGGTGCTGATGAGGAAGAGGACGACGGTTACCTCAGCGACGACCCTGTAGAACGCTATGATGCGCAGGCGAAGAGCGAAGTTGCGCAGCGGATTCGTTTCGCAATCGTCCTGTTGATTCCGATCGCCTTCAAGACGGAGACCACGCGTGTGCAGGCGACTCTTCGCGCGCTCTTCAATGTGTGGAAGAAAGACCTGAATATGGAGATACAGGCATCGACGAAGTTTCAGGAGCTGACGGCGGTGTTCCTGAATAAGAAGCAGTACTGGAGGCTGCAGGTTACCTTTGACCGGGCCCGCGACGCCAACTTCGTGAGGAAGCATGGGATTGTGCATACCTGTGTTGACGGAAAGCGGATTCATCTGGACTGGCAGCACCTGGTGGACCCGGCGTATGTGAAGGCACGAGCGGCTGACCCGCTGCTGGTTGAAGTGTTGTTCAAAGGTGTGGATGCAGTGATCACGCCGGAGATGCTCTGCGACATGCTGGTGAAAGTGAAGCTGGAGAAGCGCGGCCGTTCGGCTTTCAAGGAAGGGTGCTGCTTCCATCGCGTGGTGAATCCTGTTACAGGGATGGACACTGACAAGGTCAAGGGGTTGGTCAAACAGCATGCGGGGGATAAGTATCGGTGGAGGCATATGATTGAAGATCCGACTTCTCATGATAAGCAGCTGCTGGTGCATTACCCCTCGCTAAGCTGTGCTTACTGCTCGGGGTATCACATGACAAAGTGTCATGATGAGTATGTGGTGGACAGACAGAACAACATCAGCAATTGGAGCCTGTCGCTGGGACGGGTCCATGGAATCAATGGTAATGGCGGCGGGATGCATCTGACTTATCTGTTAATTTGCTGCTCGTCGCTTCCTTGGTGTTGCGGTGCTAACGCTGTGGATGTGTCGGCTACGCGCAGCCGCCTCAGTCAGACTCACAGATCTGACCAGGCTCATTCTGAAGGACCCCGCCGTGATGTTGATTTCGACCGGGGGGGATCGCGAAGAGTGGATTTGCGTCCAGGAAAGCTGCGAGAAGGCGACTGGGGTGACCTTCACACAGGCTGCCGAACATGTGGTTTCTCAGCGCCACAGCGATGGTCTTGTCAGAATGTTATATTTGTCTAGCCTGCAGTGGGGTGCTCATTAGTGAGTACAACCCTTCTAGGGTTTGCTATTTGTATCCCCATTCTTGCTAGTTCAACCCTCTCTCTTTTTGCCTAATTTTCTCGACATGCTATCAGAGCAGGTCGACCCTCCTGGGTCGATCCTGTGGGTGGGCCCACCACCTAATGCTTCCGCTGCTGTACTTCCTGCCGGGCGCCTCGGGCGCGCGACGACTTCTTCCTGCCGTGCGCTCGGGGTTTTCATCCCGAATTTTTTCTAGGGTTTCGGCGGTTTTCATCCCGCCGTGCGCTCGGGGCGCGCGGCGGTTTTCTGCACGCCGTGCGCCCCGAGGCGCGCGGCGGTTTCCCACCGTCGAAGCGCCCTCCCCCCGTCGCCGTCGACCCCCCGCGTCGCCCCGCAGCCCCGCGCGTCGCCCCCGACGTCTCGTCGCGACACCTTGGGGAGCCGCGCGCGGCCCCCCGCTACCTCGTCGCGACGCCGTGGGGAGCTGCGCGCGGCCCCCGCTGCCTCGTCGCGACGCCTTAGGGAGCCGCGCGCGGCCCCCCGCTGCCCCGTCGAGGCGCCCTGGGGAGCCGCGCGCGGCCCCCGCTGCCCAGAGGTGGCGCCCTGGGGGTCGCGCGCCTTCCCCCTCGCCGTCCCCCGCGCTCCTTCTCCCTTTCGCCCGTTTTAGGGTTTGGGGGTGGGGAGTGTGGGGGTGGCGGCTGTGGGGGTGTCGGTTGTGCGTTACTCTACCTACTCCTCCTCCTCCCTAGTCTCCCTCTACTGCAGCTGCCGCTGAGGGGGGTGGTGTGTGGGAGTCTAGGGTTTGGGGTTTAAGGGGGGGTACCGTGGGAGTGGAGCTAGGGGTGAAGCAAGGGGTGTGTGTCGAGGGGTGTGGGACTGTTGGGGGAGGTTGAGCGGAGACTGCCGTCGTGTCGTCCGCAGCACCTGTATTCCGGGGTTCCGCGGACCTCCGGTAGCTCAGAGAGCCGGCTGCACCTGTCGCCCGTGGGTCCGCTGCACCCTCCGCAGCGACTATTACCCCTGTAGTCCGGGGCTCTGCTTCCGGTAGCCACTAGCGTTGCGCCAGAGCCGTCTGATGCCCGTGTGTCTGCAGCTTCAGTCGTCGCCTCCACTCCTTTCTCCTCTCGCCAGCCCTCCTCCTCCTCATTTGTCCTCTGTGACCGCCTCTAGCTTTGCTCATAACTTATAAACTGTTGCTTCTTGAACTTGTGCTCAGAATGTGTGGTGACATCGTGATCCACCCTGAGCTTGTACTGCTTTGCTTGCTCTGCTGATTACACCCCACTTTGGCTATGGGGGTGTGTCAGAATGTTATATTTGTCTAGCCTGCAGTGGGGTGCTCTGTAGCGAGTACAACCCTTCTAGGGTTTGCTATTTGTATCCCCATTCTTGCTAGTTCAACCCTCTCTCTTTTTGCCTAATTTTCTCGACAGGTCTGGTGTCAGGCTAGGCGTCACGCAGCTCCAAGGCAGGGGTCAATCTGACCGCGGCGAAGAAGGAGTTTGGTGTGTGAAGGAGTGGCCCGTCTCTGCACCGTTGGGAGAGTGGGCCTGCTGGGTAGGAGAGAGGGTACTACGTGGTGTCGGCCGTAGGGGGAGTCACATTATGTGCTGTATCATCAAGTGTATTGTGTCACCGAGAGCTGTTGTTTCACCGCCCTGTGGATGCGTGAGGGCAAGGACAAAGATTGATTAATGGATAGCACCAACCGGCTAACGTTCCTGACTCTGAATGTCAACGGCCTGAGGAGTCTAGGAAAACAGTAGGCAGTAAAACGATGGATCAGGACATCTGCAGATATAGTAATAATGGCGGATACTAGGATAGCGGATGACCACAATTTTTGGACCGAGCTGCGGCCCAGCAGCAAGGCTACGGTGGCGGCATCTACCAGAGCGGGTGGGTTGGCCGTCCTGAGTTTCAAGGATGGGGTACAGATCGAGGATGTTCAGCGTCACTCCTCGGGGAGGTTGTTACATGCGCGGCTGCGGTGGGGAACGAGAGTTCTGCGGGTACTGGCGGTGTATTTCCCTGCGCAGCCGTCGCCAAGGGGGTGTCTCCTGGGCACCGCTTTCAAAGATGTCGTGGATAGTCTGCCAAGGGGGGAGGATCTGATAGTGGCAGGGGATTTTAACATGATTGAGGACCCCGTGCTGGATAAGTCGAACAGACAGGGGGTGACGGGTGATAATGGACGTATGATGCAGATGCTAGCGGGTTTCCACGCGAAGGACGTGTTTCGGGAGCTGTTTCCAGATGAGAGGCAGTTCACGTTTTACTGCAAGTCGGCGAAGGTCAGCTCGAGAATCGACAGGGTGCTAGCGTCCCAGTCCATGCTGCATCTGGTGACGGGGGTGAAGCACAAGAAGGTACCGAAGGGGATCACGGATCATAAGTTCGCGGTGAGGATGAGTCTCGGTTGGAGGGGCCCACGTGAGTCAGGTCCGGGTTTGTGGCGGTTCCCGGCAAAGTTACTGAGCCGGCCATGAGTGATGAAGGTGGTTGCAGAAGTGGTTAAAAATCACCGTGAAGGCGGCAGCGGTGGTTTCGACAAGTTGCTGAGGAGCTTATCTGCACAGCTGAGAAGATATGACAAAGAGGAGAGGAAGCGAGTGAAGCTTACGAGAGGCGTTCTGGAGGAGCAAGTGGAGCAGTTACAGCACAAGGTGATGGCTGATCTGTACGATGACGAGGTGCAGGCCCTGTTGTCCAGCCGGGAAGAGATGTTGTAGAGATACTGGGATGGGAGGAGGAATTGGTTGCAGCTACGGTCGGGGCTTAAGGTGCAGCTGGACGGGGAGGCGCCAACAAGTTTCCTGACGGCGCTGATCAAGAGTAGGAGGGCAAGGACGGGGATAAAAGAGCTGGTGAGAAATGGGGTCAGTCACACAGAGGCACGGGGTATACTGGAAGCGGCTACCTGTCACTTCAGGGAGGCGTTTGATGAGGTACCGGCAGGTGGTGCAGAGCCAAGTCTGGAGTGGTCGCCGAGGAACATGTTGGATGAGGCGGCCGTAGCAAGCCTGTCGCTGGAGTGGTCGGAGCAGGAAGTCAAACAGGCGCTCAAAGAGGTGGCTAACGACAAATCACCAGGCCGTGATGGTTTGCCCAAGGAGCTTTTCCAGCGGCACTGGGAGCTGCTACGTGAGCCGGTGATGAAGATGATCGGAGAGTTCATTGCAACAGGGAGGCTGCCAGAAGTGGCAAACGAGGCGGTCACAATTTTGCTTTGCAAGAAAGGTGCGGAGACGATATTAAGAACTACAGGCCGATTATACTGCTTTCAGGGGTGTATAAACTGCTGGCAAAAGTGGTAGCGACGAGGATGAAGGCGGTGCTGGGACAGGTGCTTTCAAAGGAGCAGTACGGTTTCTTACCTGGGAGGAGGTTAACGGACGCGGTGTCGATGGTGGCCGATATGATTGAGGCAGGCCGGAATGAGAACAGTGACTGGTACCTTCTTCTGATCGACTTCGAGAAGGCGTACGATTCAGTGCGCAGGGGCTTTATAGTGGAAACTGTCGCAAGCTGGGTTTCCCGCCAAGATTTGTACGGTGGATAGAGGCCCTGCACAGCGATGTTCATACAAGGCTGTGTGTTAACGGTTGGATGGGAGAGAAAATCGAGATGAAGAAGGGGGTGCGTCAGGGTTGCCCACTGGCGCCGTACCTTTTTCTGTGCGCGGTGGAGCCTTTGTGCAGGCTCGCAGAGGGAAGAAAACTGGGAATCGGGGAAGGTAGTTGCGACCGGCTGTCCTATGTGGGGTACGCGGATGACACGACCTTGTTGCTGGAGGGAGAGCAGCAACTGAAGGATGCGGGTGTCCTGCTGCAAGAATACGCGGAGGTGTCGGGGCTGAAGGTGAACAAGGGGAAATCTGCGGTCCTGCCGATAGGGAGAAACGTGGGACAGCAGGCACCTGATGGCATGGAGTACAAGTGGGTGGGGGCAAATGAGGTTGATAGGCTTCTTGGTGTATGGATTTCACCAGGGGGAGAAGCAGATGCAACCTGGGAAAAGGCTTTTGACAGAGCAGCAGGGGAGCCGAGCAAGTGGAGCACTAAATATCTTACGACTGGAGCACGCGTGACCGTTATCAACAGCTATGTTCTGCCAATCTTCCTGTTTCAAGCGCAGGTGTATCCGCCGGATGACCTGTTGTGGCGCAGGGTAGAAAAGCTGATTGAAAACTTTGGGAGGGAGTTGGGCGGAAGCAAGGAGGCGGAGATGGCGCTGAAGGCTTTCAACGCGGCACCAGAGCGGTGGCGGCAGTGGGTTTTGGCGCCGTTAACAGCAGAGGAGGTTGCGGCAGAGTCACCGGTGGTGTGCACCAGGCTGCCAGGTGGGCAAAGGTGCCTCTGGGAGATCTGCGGTAAGATCGGCAGGAAGGTGGAGCTTCGGGGTCTCAGCGGCAAAGGAGAGCGCACGCCGTGGGACGTAAGGCTGGTGCTGTGCTGTGATAATGTGCTACCGGTGAAACTATCTCAAGCGCGGGCGGTACGGGAGGCTGGGGATCCTAGGACCCGGCTGCTTAGTTCATCATTATTCAAGGAAGAGGTGGTGGTTCCAGTAAGAGGACTCAGGGAGCCGAGCAAGGGGGTGGAGGCGGTGGAAGGGAAGAGGTCGTGCTGGGAGGCCCGGGCGGGCAGAAAGATTAACTGGGAGAGGAGCAGGAAGGTCCGGGACTCGTTGGTGGTTCCGGCCAAGGCGAGAGATGTGCTCCTACGGGTGCACAACCTCAACTTGCAAGTGGGGGAGAGGATTCCGTTTGTGAAGGGCGGGGTGGCATGCCCGAACTGCGGGTTGGAAGAAACGCTGGAGCACTGTTTGCTGGAATGCAGGAGTGTGGCGCCAGTGGTTAATGCTGTCAAGTCGGCGCTCAGCATGATGCAGCTAGCAAGGCGGGCTGACAGGCTGGCAGATTTTGTGTTCGGAGAGGAGGAGACGAAGTCCGGAATTCCCGAGGCTACAATGGTGGCGGTGGCGATGCATCAGGTTTGGTTGGGAAGGTGTGATGTGTCGCTCCGAAAGTTGAAGAGGTTTCAGGCACGGAAGGTGCTCATGAGGATTAACGTCGAATTCAACAAGCATGCAAGAATATACTGTGGCAAGCCAGGAAGGAGGGCACGAAAGGATAAGGCGAGGTGGAACTTGGCGGAGGATGAGGCACGCGTCATGCGGCGGATATGTGTCAGCGAGGTGGTGGGGCTGAAGTGGCAAGGCGGTTTTCAGTCCATCTGGTCGAACCCGAGAACCTTCGTGAAGCCACTGTAAAGCTGTGGGGAGGGCCAGGCGATCTTTTCGCCAGCCTAATCCCAGTTAATCAGTTACGACTGAAGTGTTTTGCTTGTACAGTATTGTGTAAGCTTTCACTAAAAAAAAAAAAAAAAAACAAGAGGCGACGAAATTGTCCTAGGGTTGCGAAGCATTGCAGGAGTACATTAACCTGTAGAGCTTTTAGAGTGTACAAACTTGGAAGTTCAAACAATCATTTCGTGTGGTTTTCGAAAATAGTTTGGCAGTGATCCTTCCTGGGGTCGAACTCACTACCTTTCGGCTCCGAACTGATTTCCTTACGACTGCGCTCACATGACACGTGTGTCTTGTTTTATAAAATAATTAGGTCTGCGTCAACGCGTGCTCTAGGGTTCGACGGTCCCTTCTTCTTTTCTTACGGTATTTGTCCCTCCCACTCGTGAGTGGAGCCGAGTTCTTCAGATCGGCCCGGTACTCACGCTCAAGTTGTTGCTATCTCTTAAAGGTGCGAAGACTTCTAGCTATTATGTAGAGACTTAAGGTAGACGATTACAAGATAGACTAAAATCTTCGTTTTACTAACGCATTTGGTTGTTTTGTTCGTTCTAGTTTAGCTCATTATGGTTGAGAGTTGTTTTTTTTACGAGAACTCCGCTTTCTTCCTAGGTTATGCCCCGTACTTTTGATCTCTCCTTTCCTCTCCTTCTCTCCACTTCTTCCCATCCTCTTCTCTCTTATATTTCGATTTACATTCTACTTGCTTGCTCTTTTCAGCTCCTGCTCTTACTTTTGTCTTCTTCCGTACGCTGTTTCTGTTTTTTTTTCCTCTTCCTTAATTGAAAATTTGAAATGATATTAACAAACTATGTTCAGAGAGTTAAATTACTAGGTAGGAGCATTTTCTTTCTCGTTCTCTCTCTCTCTCGTTCTCTCGTTCTCTCTCTCTCTCTCTCTCTCTCTCTCTCTCTCTCTCTCTCTCTCTCTCTCTCTCTCTCTCTCTCTCTCTCTCTCTCTCTCTCTCTCTCTCTCTCTCTCTCTCTCTTCTCTCTCTCTCTCTCTCTCTCTCTTCTCTCTCGTTCTCTCTCAATCGTTCTCTCTCTCTCTCTCTCTCTCTCTCTCTCTCTCTCTCTCTCTCTCTCTCTCTCTCTCTCTCTCTCTCTCTCTCTCTCTCTCTCTCTCTCTCTCTCTCTCTCGTTCTCTCTCTCGTTCTGAGTGAGCTTAGGTCTTCTAGGCTAGTATTGTTGTTTACGTTCTAAGATGAAGAGAGTAAGGTATCTCGATTTAGAAAGAAGTACCTCGTGATTGGTGCTTACGTTTTTGTACGGTATATTTCGTAATTGGTAGAAAATGGAAACTCGATTTTCTCTCTCTTGTCCAACTCTTTCGCTCGGCGGTTTCTCTCTCGTGGTCTCTCATTTTCAACCACCTCTCTCTCTTTCTCCCTCTTTCTCTCATACTACCACATTTTGGCTAGCTTACGATATTTGAATATAAGCTTCATTGGAGAGCCTCTCGTTTTCTTCCTCGTTTTTGTTATTGCTTCCGTTTGTTTGTGAACCTTCCCTCGTGTCCCCCCTCTCCTTTACCAGCATCACTTCCAACCCCATTCCTCTGCATTTCCATTCCTCTCCCCTTCTTTGGATGTTCATTCTTCTTTCCCTTGTTTCGTACTTTTCCATTCTTACCTACGTGTAGCTCTTTGGACTTTTCTTCTTACTTTTTTTTTTTCTTTCTTTTTCTTTTGCGTTTACTCCTATTTTTTGCTATTTGTGTTCAAAGAGCCAGCTTGTGTTTGTTTTTTTCTCAAAGTCGCCATCTTTATCCCCTCAACTTCTATTCCCCATTTCCCCGCTTTCGTTTGCTTATTTCCTACTTTTCAGAGGCTTTGCTGTACCGTTCGGTAATTGAAGGTCCTTTTTAAAGGAGGAACGATCACATTTGTGGCGATTAGGTCTAATTGTGTTGTATTGCTTGGTAGTTCTGTGTGTGTGTGTGTGTGTGTTTTTTTTTTTCCTTCGTAAGTTCTTTATGCATTGGCTTGTTCCGAGCTTCTGTGCGTGCGTGCGTCCGTCTGATTGCGTACGTATGTGTTCGTATATGTGGCATTCATCTACCATATCATTATCCATCTATTATTTCATTAACAATGCATGTCTGTGGTTTTTAGAAATGAGAATCAGTTCTATCATTTCCCAAAGGTTCATTGAGTTACACTCGAACGGGTACGCTCACTTGAACTGGATTTGTTTGGCTGATCTCGTTTTTAGACTTCACAGATTGTGTTGTTTCATGTGGTAGTTGATTATTCAAAAGCTAAGCTATTGACCTCCCCGACCTCCCCCCCATGCTAGGCAAGGGATGGCGGTAGCTTAGTTTTTGGGTTGTTAACTGTCACGCATTTTATCATGTGCATGTGCATCATTCATGACATATCACATGCATTATATAGCATCATTCTATGCATTATGCATTGTATAGCATCAATTGTGAGAGCTTGCTATTTGTCTTTGCAAATGCAACGTCTCATTTCAACTGCAAATGCAACGTCTCATTTCAACTGGCAAGTGATAGAATCTAGAGACAAGAATGATGCATTGATCAAGAGTTGGGTACATAAGCTAACCCTAACATTGGGTTGTACCCCATATGGGCTACCCCACTAGCAGCCTACACAAACACAATATGCATAGTTTGACACACCCCCATAGGCAAAGTGGGGGAGAACAAGGGGTCACAAGACCAGTCAAGAGAAACAAAACAAGCTCAGGGTGGATCACAACGTCACCACACACACTGAGCACAAGCAAAGGGCCACAAGGCCTGTCCACATGCAGAGGTATATATGCAACAAACAAAGTACAGTGATCACTACCTAGCAAGAGCAAGCATGCAGGTATATATATATAAAGATCACAGTACAGGCAGAGTCTACAGCAAGTGTGGAAACGTAGGCACAAGGCCCAACAAGGTACAAAAGCGCTGATGATCACCAGACGGAAGTGCCTTGGTGAATATATCAGCAGTGTTGGCCCGAGTGGCCACGTGTGCAAGACGAAGCTGACCATGCTGCTGCAACTCTCGAGCCAGGAAGTAACGCAGAGCGATGTGCTTCGTTCTGTGCTCCAGTCTGTGCTCCTCACACAAGGCAATGGTCGCCTTGTTGTCAACGTACAGAACTGGAGGAGAACGAGGCCGCTCTCCCAGGTCGGTCAGCAGGTACGTGAGCCAGCGCAGCTCCTGAGCAGCCATGGCGGTGGCGTAGATCTCAGCCTCACAACTGGAGCTGAGAACAGAAGACGAGCGAGTAGAACGCCACGAAACAGAGCCAGAGCCGAGGCTGAAAGTGTAACCCTGTGACGACCGCTGTGTAGCCTGGTCGTCAACCCAAGACGCGTCTGAGTGCCCAGTGAGGACCACCTCTCGCCGTCCTCCAAGCACGAGCCCCATGCCCGATGTACTGCACAAGTAGCGCAGTACCCTCTTCGCAGCATCCCAGTGCACCTTTCGGTGCCGACCAGGAGCCACGTAGCGGGCCAAAAGGCCAAGAGGGTACGCAAGGTCAGGACGAGTGCAAGTCATCAAGTACATGAGGCAGCCTACTAGCTCTGGGTAAGGACCACTCGGCTCTACGGACTCGTCCGAAGGTGGAGCTGAGAGCGAGTGACCTGTAGCCAGAGGAGTGGACTGTGCCGAGGACCAGGTGAAGCCGAAGCGCTGAAGGACCTGCTGCACCATGTGTGACTGAGTCAGAGTGATGGTGTGACGTGCTCTGTCCCGGGTGATCTGCAAGCCAAGGTAGCTGCGCAGCTCACCCAGATCTGTGCACGTGTGTCTCTTCTGCAGCTCCGACTTCACCAGGGCGAGAGCCTCAGTGTCAGCAGTGGCAAAGACCAAGTCGTCGACGTACACGAGGATGTAGAACGGCGGCAGCGAAGTGTCGGTGCGCAGAAACAGTGACGGGTCAGCTGTGGAGGGCGCAAACCCGAGAGCCGCAAGCGTAGTCCTCAGTGTGTTGTGCCACTCACGAGGCGCCTGACAGAGACCGTAGACTGGCCGGCGGAGGCTCCACTGGGTACCAGGAGGGAACGACCCAGTGAAGCCAGGTGGGCGGCGCAGCCAGATCTCCTCGTGCAGGCAGCCCTGCAAGAAAGCTGTGCTGAAGTCAAGTGAGTGAAGCTCGTAGTCACGCTGGGCGGCAACGTGCAGCAGTACCCGAAGAGTGGTCATCTTCGGGGTGGGGGAGAAGGTCTGGAAGAAGTCAACCCCCTCTCGCTGACTGAAGCCTCGAGCAACGTAACGTGCCTTGAAGACAGGCGGAGAACCAGGCGGCCGCTTCACCCTGAAAATTCACATGCCACTGACGATGTTCGCCCCAGGAGGGGGAACGTCGTCGACGTAGGTGCCTGTGGACTTCCAGGATGCCATCTCTGCGTCCATGGCTGCCTGCCACTGAGAGGAGTAGGGACCCGCGACCGCCTCAGCGTACGAGCGCGGGGTGGGGATGTCTAGTGCATCCGGGTCTCCCTTAGGGGCAAGCAGCATGGTCACGAGATGAGGCGCAGCGGCTGCAAGACACTCAAGGTCCTCGTGCCTGTCCTCAAGGACGTCCGTGCTAAGAGCACACTCACCCCCGTCGGACGGAGGACAGACAGACTCAGACTCAGCGACAAGACTAGTAGCGTAGTCTAGACGACAGGCAGCCGCAAAGTCAACAAGCTCAGCAACCAAAGCAGTCGCAGCAGCAGACTCAAACGAGGGGTCAGTGACAACAGTGGCGAGCAGACGCGTGACAGTAGGGTGCTCAGCACGAAACCGGTCAGACTCAGGGTCCGGAACGTGAGGCAAGGAAGACGCAGGAGGAGACGGCAGAGAAACAGACTGCGGAACAGAGGAAGGACGACGGACGACAAGGTGTGCGGTGGGGACAGGCGGCGAACGCGGACACGGAACACGACGACCGGTACGACTAGGACGAACAGGCGAGACAGGACGCGACGCAGGCTCACGACGCTCAGCAA